GAGATTTATCAAGGATTTCTTCAAGATCATTGTACCATTGACTTGTTTGATCAAGAAGAATGTGACTTTCTGGTGGGGCCCAAACCAAAAATCAGCTTTCGAGACCTTAAGGTTGAGGTTATATGAGGCCCCGATTCTAGTGCTACAGGAGGGGCTGGATGATTTTGTAGTGTATTGTGATGCATCGATCTCAGGGTTAGGGGCAGTATTGATGCAGAGGGGGCATGTGATCGCGTACACCCCGAGGAAGTTGAAGCCTTATGATACGAATTACCCCAATCACGACTTGGAATTGGGGGCAGTGGCGTTTTCCCTCATAATCTGGAGGCATTACTTGTATGGAGTGTGGTGCACCATCTTTACCGACCACAAAAGTTTGAAGTATTTGATGTATCAGTATAACCTCAACATGCGACAGAGGACTTGGTTGGATGTACTGAAAGATTATGACTGTGAGATCATCTACCATCTAGGGAAGGCCAACATGGTGGCCGATTCTTTGAGCTGCAAGATGGCGGGTTCCCCGACTTGGAACGTTTGTTTTAGGATGACAGTGATCTCCCCATTGTTGGATATGATCAAGGAGGTTCAAGTGGATGTTTTGAAGAGATAAAATTAGAAGTTAGAGCGGATACGTGGTCAGATTCCTTTATTCTCTGGGATGGTTGGGGTCTTTTGACTCAGTGTGGCCAAGTGCGGGTTTCGGCATCTCGAGGAGTGAGGCAGAAGATATGGGAAGAGGGACACAAGTCCAATTTCTCCATACATCCAAGGGCTACAAAAATGTATAAAGACCTGAGACTGAGTTAGTGGTGGCCCTGCATGAAGTGGGAGATCGCCTGGTTTGTGGAGCGGTGCTCGACTTGCCGGAAGGTCAAGGCTAAACATCAGTGGCCTCATGGCAAGGTTCAGCCGCTACCCAGACCCATGTGGAAATATGAAGAGATCACCATGGACTTCATCACGAAATTACCGAGGATAGCGAGTGGTGTAGATTCCATATGGGTTACTATGGATAGATTGACGAAGAGCTCCCACTTTACTCCGATCTCCAAGAGCATCTCCGCTGAGAAATTAGCGGATATTTACGTGCAAGCGGTGGTGGTTAGGTACAAGGTGCCAGTGACAGTAATCTCTAACCGGGATGTTCGATTTGCAGCTAGATTCTGGAAGAAGTTCCATGAGGAACTGGGCACTCAGTCACATTTCAACACGGCGTACCACCCCCAGACAAATGGCCAAAGCAAGAGGACGATCCAGACACTCGAGGATATGCTTTGGGCATGCGTATTGGATTTTGGAGGAATTTGGGATACATACCTCCCACTAGCAGAGTTGTATGGGCACATACATGTTCGAGATGCTGTATGGTCGGAGGTGTAGGACCCCACTTTTTTGGAGTGAAGTTGGGCACCAAGTCATAGGAAGCACCAAAGTGGTGCTTAAGAGCACCGAGCAGATCCAACAGGTGCGCGACAGACTGCGAGTCGCACAGAGCCATTAGAAGATATATGTCGACCGGCGTTACTTAGATCTTGAGTTCTAGGTAGGATACTTTGTTTTGTTGAGAGTTTCACCATGGAAGGGTGTCATTCGATTCAGGAATATGGGCAATTTAGGGGCACGGTATATTGGTCCGTCCACGATTACCTCCATAGTGGGAAAGGTGGCTTACCATTTGGATCCGTCGAACGAGCTTAGCCAGATTCACAACACCCTCCATGTGTCCCAGCTTCGGAAGTGTGTTATTGACGAGGATGCAGTCATATCTTTGGATGACATTTAGGTGGATGAGAGCTTGAACTACATTGAGAGGCCCATTACGGTCCTGGATAGGAAAGTTTAGGTCCTTCTAACTAAAGAGGTAAAGCTAGTGAAGGTGCAATGGCAACATCGAAGGGGCTCTAAATGGACATGGGAGCCAGAGGATGAGATGTGGGAGCACTACCTGGATTTGTTCACATCAGCAGATTTCGAGGATGAAGTCTAGTTCAAGTGGGAGGAGACTTGTAACACTTGCTTCATGTATTAATTATTTTTCAGGATTGTAGGGATTTAGATTGGAACTCGATGAGTTGGGGAGCTCCAACTCATCGAGTAGACACTGAAAAAGACTAAACTCGACGAGTTAGGGAGCCCCAACTCGACGAGTTGACGCTGAAAAGGAAAAACCCTAAATTTTTAGGATTTTCACCCTATATAATCTCCTTAAAACCTTTAGGCTGACCTTCCATTAGCCTTTAAACCCTAAGAACGTCGGTGCTAAACCCTAATCTCCATTTTCTCTAATATTGTAAGCTAGACTTTTGGAGCTTAAGAAGAAGAAGATACTCTGAAGAAGGAGAAGATCCATCAAATAAAGCCCTCACTCTTGAGCTTGACCATCTTATGGGCTATTGTAAGAACTCAAGATTTGATTTTTATCTTAGAGTATGACTAGATCTTGAGTTTACTCTTCATTTCTTACCATTCTTGTTGATTGCATGCATGGGGTTCATAAAGTTTGCAACTTTATGAATCTTTAGGGAAAAATGGTCTCATGGTGGGCTAGATCTAGCTTTTGGTCAAGCACTGATGCCATTCATGGATTTTAGGATATATTTTCCCCCTTTGGTCATTTTGACTTCAAGACATGCATTGGACATGCATGTCCATAAATTCTCCATCTTTGGAACGTTTTGAGGATTAGAACCTCTTCTGGAAAGGAGGGATTCTAGGTCCCTAGAGTCTTGAACCATATGGCTAAGCTTTTGAGCATTCCAACCTTTGTTAAGGGCTTTAGAGTATTCGGAGTGGTTCTGGAGGATAAAGTTGGAAACTTTATCCTTCTAGAAACCTTTAGATTTTAGATCAAATCCCTAGATTCCCTGTAATCGACGTATCATCCGAATGTGCAAACATGGTGAAAACTCGATGAGTTGCTCTGGCATCTCGACGAGTTGGATCAGGTTTCTCCGTCTATTGGATACTGAATGAACTCGACAAGTTGATGAGACAACTCAGCGAGTTGGCTAGGGTTTGTGTCGGTCTTCTAGACTCTGAAGGGACTCAACGAGTTGTTAGATGCACTCGACGAGTTGGATCAACATGGACTGTTGACCTTGAATTTGACCAAGTTTGATTTTGAGGGTATTTTTGGTATTCCGGAATTTTGACAAAACTAGTCACATGATGATTGTAGGCAGTTGAGTTGGAGCTACGCGTTGGGACTTATCCGATCTTATTTTATCAGTTCAACATTTTTGAGAGGTGAGTCTCCTCACCATACCAATGGGTCGAAGGCACCAAGGTCATCTCATTTTATGATATGTGGTATACTAGTTAATGTAGTGTTATGTGGCATGATTATTGATTATATGCTAGCACGTATGCTAGTTGTATATGTGGTACACTTGTATGAAAGACCATGGGGGATCCCATGGCACTTGGATGTAAGACCATGTGGAGAGCCCATGGCTTTCCTATTAAAGACCATGGGGGAGCCCATGGCACCTGGATGTAAGAACATGTGGGGAGCCCATGGCTTTCCTATTAAAGACCATGGGGGAGCCCATGACAGCTGGATGTAAGAACATGTGGGGAGCCCATGGATTTCCTGTTAAAGACCATGGGGGATCCCATGGCACCTAGATATAAGACTATGGGAGATCCCATGGAATCAATGAGTAAGACCCGAGGGGATCCCACAGCATCCTTATATGTTATATGCTTGGCTTTTATGGTTTATGTAGCTTTTATAGCTAATATGATATATGTGATAATGTGAACTGTGTGGGGTATGCTCTGGGGAACTCACTAAGCATTAGCTTACAGTTTGTTGATTTGTTTCAGGTACATCCGAGCCTAAGGGCAAGGGCAAGGGTTGATGGTGCGGCATGCACTCTTCATCATTTGATTTGATGGGACACTCTGATATTTGAAATATAATGTTGATGTTTTGGATTTTGAAAACCATTGTCATTGTTATGTCGTATTTTATAGGAATGTTTTGGTTAATTAAAAATGAAAATTTTATTTGAAAATTTTGGTTGTTACACGATGATGACGAAGCACCGATAATTAAAGGGCAATTCAAACAACTCAATGATAAGTTGGATTCGATTATGGAGTCTTCGAAATCTTCATCAAACTTTGAATTTATGATTAAGTCTCATCAATCCACAGATGAGACGTTAACCAAAGATAATACTAAAGCACTTTCCGAATCCACAAATGCTACTGAAGCTTCCGAGAAAACTATTCAGGACACAATTGAACAAGCCGTAAAACTATATGCTAAAGTCATGAAATTTATGTCTGAATTCCAAAGTTCTTCCTATCAGAATAGCGCAGCAGCTAATAACATCATTACGAGCCTCAACACCTCTTTGCAAACCAAAAGGAAGGCACTCACTCCTGTTCGTGGTGAAATCAAGGTTGAAAACTCCGAGCTCAACTCCTCCAATGTCTCGAACATAGAGCAACTTCAAAAAGATCTTGTTGTTGAGAATGTAATCGTGGGTAAATTGGCTGAGAATGCTGAGAAAGACAAGGTTCTGTCAGTTAAGCTCCACTACACCAATAAATGTCTTGATGGCTTGGAGTCTGATAGAATCATGTTTTGAAGCTGCATTTCCGAAATTAATCAATACTTGCAAAGGCTGTTGGAAACTCGTGACTCAATGCTTACTGTTTCAGTTAGCCAACACCTCTCAGAAAAATGTAAGCATGTCTTTGCGATGCTCAATCAATTAGAAGGTGTTTCGGGTAGTGACGTTATTCTGAAACAAGGGGGGAGATAATGCAAATAAAGAATAAATCCTCAAGGAACAACCCCAATCAAAGCAAAAGACCGATAAGCATCATGAACAAAAACCGAAGTCAACTAGAAGGGTAATGAAGCTTCTGGGTCAACGGGTAAAGAAAAGGTTGTTGATGATGATGATGAACTCTCTAAAGGAAAAAAAAAACTAGAAAGAAATAAGAGATACAAGGAACTTGATCATCTTTTATTTCTTTAGATGGAGTTAGAAGAAAAAGAGGTTGAAGCTAAAATAGCTAAGGTCACTCTGAAAACTCACCAGTTGCTTTTTCAACCATGGACTATGGATAGGATGCAAAATGAAGCTATTGATGATCCAAGCGTTCATTGGTTAGAGCCTTTAGTTTCCTTCGAAATGGGTAATACCGTTGACTCTCAGTTTGATTTTTCGGTCACGCCGAGAGCATTTTTATTCCGATGCTTTGAGAAAATTGAGAAAGCTCCACTATTGGACTACGACGTTAATCATATGCTATTTTCATTATATCTCAAATATGGAAAACCACAATTTCAAACCTGGAGCTTGCTGAATGTGGTTGTTGTAAAAGTTTATGCACCTTTTCCGGTTGAAAACTTCATCAATGTAAAGTTTAAAGGATTCCGATGTGTGAGTCGTACTGAAGTTGACTTTTCTCTTGCTAATCTACTGTGCATGAATCCAAACGACTAGATTTCTCTATTTCTGATTTTGTCTAAGGATGAACAGAAGTATGAACCAATTGTTTCCCACTTGAAAAGAATGTGTATTTGCTATATTTATGTAGTTGCAAAAATGGATATAGGAATAGCATCACTTTTGAAGAAAAAACCAGTTGTGGAACTGAAGAGCAACCGACGGACTTTCAAAAGCTAAAGTTGGGTAAGGAAAGAAAATTGGAGTGTGGTATACCAGCGAAAGGAATGCAAAAATGCTCAGAAGAGCATGTTTTTCTTACTCGACATGCATTTATATTCAACTAATACACTAAACAACATTATGGGTCTAACTGAAGCACGCAACATCAATAATGTTGTTGATCTAAATCTGATAATGCCATAGTTCAAGTTTGAAAAGAGACGATCATGAATATTCTCCTTCCTTATTTGACACAAAAGGGGAGATTGATGGGCTTATTAGTATTGTGTCAAATGTATATTATATACGTTATTTATTGTTGAGATGGGCCTATACATTCTCGTGTTTAGTGCTTTCCCGTCTAGCCTATATATTGCATGCATGTAACATTATCAATTGTATCGCCCTACTTAGCTCTCAAAGAGAAGTTATCATTGAACTCTTCTAGTGATAATCTAATCATTCGGCATCTTTTCAATCATTGTTCATTTGATTCACATTATTTTCTATAGAATCTATTGATATATATATATATATATATATATATATATATTATTGTTTGAACAGTAATCATTAAGAAATCATGTGAAAAACATATGCATCAATCCAATACATATGTTTTTTGATTTTTTGCACACCAAGTGTTTCTTATTAAGAAACCATGTGAAAAACATATGCATAAATCCAATACATATGTTTCTTGATTTTTTGAACACCAAGTGTTTCTTATTTTTTGCTTCTTCTTTATATGGAACCTGACTCAACTGTATTCCCATAACCGTAAGCAACCGAGTAACGTATTCCAGTTGGAGATTTCGATATAACGTCCCCAAGTGGGTTTTCAAATGAATCTAACATGTTTAATGTTTCCCCGTTTGAATATTTATCATGGTTTTCCAGAAGCTTGTGGCTTATATTGGCCTACACTAAATGGATTTGTCTTTTTTCCCTTTCATTACTACACCTCAAATAACGAAATTTGTTGTAAGGGATTTATGAACCTTTTCTTGCCTGTTAGAGATGTACATCAAGTGCTCGATGAAATGCCTGGAAAAAAAAAGACCACTTTTTTTTATCTCAGTAAGTTAGCCTTTTTGAGTATTTTTGTAGCTTTGTTTTTTCATTAATAGGAAGATCGCTCTGCATTCTAGCAATTGTTGCTTTTTTGGATTCATATGCTGAAGATGATTAAATGTATATACCGATTAGAATATAGGTTTCTCCTAATTGGGTTTAGTTTGATCAAGAAAATGTAAGAGAAGTTGATTTCATCAATTTTTCTTCAAAAATCATATTCATTTATAATCTTAATCCATTTACAAACCTTTGAACAAATTTCAAATGTCAATGACACCTGATTACACAATGCATTTAAAATAAGAAAACTTTTTTAGATTATAAAGAGATAGAAAGTTGTTTAGGAAGTGGTGTTGAATAGAGGAACTAGAAAGATTGAAAAGTGGTAAATTGAATGTGTAGGAAAATATATCAACTTACTGTACAGGGGAAAATATGTCCAATTGGTGGGAAATATGTCCAATTTCTTTTACTGTAATAATAACCACATGATTCTAATGATTTTTCGATTTTCACTGAATGCGAAACAAATAGAAAAAAAACAATTTATCAATCAAATGCATAAGATTTGTTTTAAAAGTTTACTTGAAATTAATAAGTTTCAATCTATGTAATCGAATAATGTTACCATACAAATCCATCCTGATATCCACATCACACATCATGATAGAATTATAATTGGTCTCATGAATCCCATCAGGTTCCATTATGATTATGGATGTGGAACAGAACCTCTGACACCTGAAACGCTTAGCACCAACAAAAATCACTTGCATCAGTTAGTTAGGTGTAAAGTTTATTTTATCAATTTGATCTTTGGATTAATAGGCATTTTTAGAGTTTAATGCATTAAATGGCAGGTCTGTTGAATACTAAGTTATTTTTTAATCTTTTAGTTTATTCATGTCTATCGGTACTAGGTCCGATCATATGTGAGTGTTTTTTTAAATCCAAAATTAAAGTTTTAGTAGCATTGTACTTTCAAAAAAAATATTACCTTCATTTCAATGTCAATTTGAAACATCCCAAAAATACAAGCCAAAATTTTCATTTTCAAAATCATTTATCAAACATAAATCTCATTGCCATAGAATAAAACCGTAAAAAAAGTATCTCAAAACTCATAATATCTGATAACAAATAACAGTCTCATAATGAAATCAGAGTAAACTCCCAGTCTGTTCAACGGTGGTGTATGCAATGCCATCAGTTCGAGCCCTTCCCTTTACTAGCTGAAGTACCTGAAACCAAAACTGAAACTATAAGCACGAAGCTTAGTAAGCTCCCGCCAAACAACCACATACCATACAAAACACATATAACAAACAACATAACTTTGGGACTACTCCCACTGCATCGGGACGAATCTCGGCACCGGCTTACCCGGCATCGGACTCATGTCCGGTATCGGGCTCACCCCAGCATCCGATCGCATCGGGCATCAGGCTTACCCTGGCACATACACAACAAAACGTATATCATAACACATAACATAATCACATAATCTACATCGGGCTTGCCCCGACATCGGATCGAAGCCTGGAACAACAACATATAACACATAAACTAGCATACATCGGGCTTGCCCCGAATTGCCTAATACATGGCATAATGACTAACTTACATCTGTCTTGCCCCGGCATCGGGCTTACCTTGGAACACCTAACACATAAACATACATGAATCACAAAGACATAAAGCAAACATAACTACTTCTCAGGACCGCCCCTACATCGGATCGAAGTCTGGAAACATATAAACTGCATCGGGCTAACCTCGACATACTTTAATACTCAAACGGGCCGGTATTGGTGCCTTCGACCCGTTCTTACTAGAGGAAAACTCACCTCTCAAACTGGATGCTGAAAACTCGGGCGAAGGTATCTCTGTCCACTGCTCCAACGACTCCCCGGCTATTATGACCAAAAATAAACACTTAGTCAAAAACTGAGAATCCATCTAAGGGTAAACTGACTATTTTACCCCCCTTTGATCTAGATTGGACCATGACCGAGGCCCAATCCTTTCTAGTCTTTCCAAACTAACAAAGGCCCATTAAAGTCCTCCAATGGCCCAATTTTCTAAATTGGGCCCAAATCCTCAAATGGGCTTTCTACCATATCCGAAAACTAGTCCTTGGCCCTTAACTATCTCCTGGTGTCCCCTCACGGCCTAACATCTGATAAGCCCAAAGATTGGCCCAAACCGAGGCCCAATAACATAAAATCCACAGTCTGAGTGTATGATAAGCGTACTCTTTTGTACGCTGCGCGTACAGCTTGCACGGCTTGTACGCTACGCGTACTGGCGCGTATGCCCACTGTACTCCCCTGATAATACATATTCTTCAAAACTACTTAATCCCTTAAGACACAACTTCAAGCTACAGATCTGAGCCCAATAACCCTACTTAACCCATAAAGTTGATCACTTAGTGGCTTGCACCTCACCAAATGAGATCAAACTTATAAAAATAACAACTATCTTCATGGAAATGGCTAGATCTCTTACACTGATGCAAATGGGCCTTAAAGATTGCAAATTTACTGCTCAAGGGACTCAAATAACTTCATGGGTGGCAACCCTAAGTCCAGAAATGGATTCGCATCAAAAATCCATTCTTGAAACCAAAAAAGACAATATCCATGAGAACCTAGATCTATGATGTAGAAGCACCAAGATGAGAACTTTATACCTTCAATGGGCTGGAAATGATGTAAAACCTCTAGATCTACAAGCTCACTTCAATCTCTTGCTTCTTGTTTAAACACTTTCTTCTTCAAAAACACCCAAATACTCCTTTAATGGCCATCCAAGATCCAAAATCACTCAAATGAGGAATAAGGGTCGATTTCTAGGGTTTAGAGGGTGGAGGCTCGAGATATTAGGGTTAGGTTATGAGATAAGGAGCTTAAATAGGGTCCAAAACCCTAAAATAGGGTTTAGGTCTAATTAGCGTACGCCCAACGTTCATATGGTACGCCCAGCGTACTCTGAAGAACATTCGCGACCATCCTGGTCAGTACGCCCAGCGTACTCCAAAGGTACACCCAACGCACTCGGCTAAGCCTGAAACCACTAAACTTCCGAAGGCCATAACTTCTTCGTTATAAATTTGTTTTCGACGATCCTTATATCCACGAAAAGGTAACGAGAAGCCCTACACTTCTATCAACTCATATCTTCCTAAATACCTTCCGAACAAAAGTCCATTTTCCACAAAAGCCCAAACTGACACTTTACCGAAATACCCCTAGGCTCCAAAACACAAACTGAACATCCGGATCGCTTCTAATACATCGCTCGCACCCAAAATGGCCTAGATCTTACCCTTCCAAAAGCCATAATCCTTATGATGACTGGCCTTTAGGCCACAGCCTCAGACTAGGAGTTAACTCAGAACAGGGCGTTACAACTCTCCCCCACTTAAATTAGATTTCTTCCTCAAAATCATGCATTACCATCCCTGATATACCAGATGACCTGAACAATACAACCACAAACCCGAAAATACCATAGCCTTCCTAAGGTCTGAGTTCCATAATGGTTTATCTTCCTGACGCACCGCCTATTCCCTACTACCATGCTAAAACCTCAACGAGTAACTGACCAATACACATTCCCAAGGTCTGAAACACTGAACTATTTGAAACACTGAACTATCTGAAGCACTGAATTGCCTGGACAAGATGCTGCTACATGGCTGCTTCCCCAAGGTCCATTGGGACCTCCCTAGTTCCAGCCTATCTAGAATATGG